GGGGGGGCGTCGCGCCGGGGCCCCGCGGAGGTTGGAGCTGGCCGCGGCCGCCCGGGCGGGGAGCGGAGAACCGCGCTGCGGCGCCCGGCCGCCGGTGCCAGGGACTGACGGCCCGGGGGTGACTGCGCCGTGTTGGGGGCGCTGCGGGAGTGCCTCTTCCGCTGTGTTTTCATCCCGGCGCCTGCAGCTGGAGAGCTCCGGGACCGCTCGTGGGCGCAAACGGGGCGGTGGCTGAAGGCGGTAGAGGGAAGTCACTTGGAAAGGGGCAGTGAGTGAAGGCGATGGGGGTGTCGCTTGAAAAATCTGCCCCAGAGCAGAACTAAAAACACTAATACAGGCGAACCGGCAGTGTTTTGTATGCCCAAAATACACCGTCCGTATCGGTGAAAGCAAATCGTAAAGCTTTTGCGTGATAGGGAGGTGGTTTTTACCTATTTGGCATATGTTTGGTCACAAAGGTTTGACCGTGCCTCTTGAAGTCTCATCTTTGACAGGATCCTGTAGAGCAGTTGCAGTACTCGTTAGGGAAAGGTAGTTTTCAGATTGAAGTAGAGACAGGAAAGATCCAGCACTGAAGGATTCTGAAGTACTAAACGTTGATTTGGAGACCACGAGGATATTTTGGGGGATAAAGTTGGAGTAAGGGAAACAGTTATTTATTTGAATAGTGTGTTTTATTTTAAGTGTGGTCAGAATTTTATTCTAACTGTTCAAAGTTGCTGGTAGCTATTTCAGAAACTTAGTAATGGCATCTCTGCTAGTGGGTAATTCTTGTAGAATACTAGCATTCTGGATGTAACAAGCTATGTATATTGACAAGAAAAACAAATGGTGATGGGGTTGGAGAATGTGGCAGTATAATCAACCACACTGCATATTCTGTGATTAAAACTAGGTTTTTCTTAAAAATCCAGATCTTAGCATTGAACAATACTTTACTTCTATGGGTGCAAATAATGCAGAGCTTGAATAAATACCTTACTTGCATGCCAGTTTCTATTTTAAAAATAGTTGCATTAAGGGTGTCTTCGTTTTGTATGCACATCGTGTGTTTCAGGAAACTATATGTTTGCAGTGTTACGCAAACTGTTGCTGGTGAATTTAGATTATTATACCATCAAGTTTCCCTCCAGCCAGTCATGAGCTTCTAGCTTGGGGAAATGCTTTCCAGAAACAGCTAACATAGCATATTAATTCCTGTGTTTTGTGAACCTAGGAAGGTACAAATCTAGGGATTCAAAAGGAGGGCAGTAAAGATGGAGTCAGGCTCTTCTCTGTGGTGTCCAGTGAGAGGACAACAGGCAGTGGACACAAGTTGAAATATGGGAAGTGCCACCAAGAACACCTTTTTTCTTTTTTTTCTTTTCTTTTTTTTTTTTTTTACTGAGAGAGTGGTCAAACACTGGAATAAGTTGTCTGGGGAGCTTGTGCAGTGTCTATCCTTGAAGTTATTCGAAAACTGACTGGAAAAGGCCCTACGTAACTTAACCTGTTTAATTTGACTCCGCTTTGAGGGACTAGATGATCTCCGGAAGTCCTTTTGAACTTTAGCTATTCTATATGGTACTCTTCAATAATAATACTAAAACTGCAGAAAGAACATTTATTTGAGGAGATGCAGGAAGACCAACAAAGTAAGAATGACAGCACGTTTTACTTTATTCTTTCTGCCCACTAGCTGCTGCGTTATCACATGAATGTAAAAATTTTGTAAGCAAGTATTCTTCTGTTAGCAGGACAGATCTTTTCATTAACGGTTTGATATTTCAAACTAAGCATTTCTTAATACAAATATTATCACAGCAAATTGTGATCTATGAGTTAAATGGGGCAAAACTTGATTACTAGAAAGAAGGAATATGTGTCTTAAAATTGTCAGGTATTTAGATACAAATTCTTAATTGGTTAAGAGAGTAACAGCTGTTTAGAATTTGCTGCCTTTCACTGGGGAATTTCAATGGCAACACAAAATTCACTACTGTGCATTTATCTTAGACTTTATATCAATTAGGGGGGTGATTTCCACAAAAAACAGGAATTGCATTAATCAAGAAACTGCATTTCTTTTTCAGACACAGGAAATGGTGAACAGCTATATGAATGTCCAATGTGCAGTCTTACCTGTACAAACATTCAGATTCTTGAAGATCATGTGGATTTACACTTAGAGGAACAAAACTTTTCGGAAGGTACATGAAAGGACACAGGCTTTATAATACTTGAAAATATTTACAAGTATTTGCATGTTGCAGTATAGAATCCCAGACAAAATTTAAACTAAGTATTTCCTTATTTAAAAAGAGAACTGGACACGTGTGTAATGAAGTTAACATAGTTAATAGCAAGTCCTATCACTTGCCCAAGTTCCCTACTTAATTACACATGCTAAAAGAAATATTTGTCTATGCATGCTCGTTAAGTAAATGCACTGTATGTTAGCCAAAACTAAAACTTAGAGCAAAAAATGTTTAAAAGACAGCCAGATTTTTTTTTTTTCCTAGCTCTATAGAAGGTTTACAAACATGGAATTTAGAGTGGCACATTCCAGTGTGATGAGCTGAAAATCTATAGCTTACGAAAACTTAATTTTTTTTTCTCAGTTCTTTTCTCTAAATGCTTGTGCGGATTCATTAGTCATAGCGATAAAGTAAAGGAATCAAAATTAATTTTATTTATTAGCATGGCTAATAAAGTCCTAGAGATTCCCTATCCAGTTCTCTGATCCTAAATTTGTTTTTCTCACTTTGTTATGAGACTGCTGGCAGTGATCCTAGAAGCGACTAAGTGTGTGGTATTCAAGAAACTGGGACTTCTTGCTAACAATGAGGTGAAACATAGTAAACAAAAGCTGTTTTCTTAGTAGTAGAGGTACATGCATTATTTGCCAAGTACTCGCTCCTGTAACTCTGCATAAACTTTGTCCAAGTCAAGAGTCTGAGTCTTGGTAGACTGAATGCAGTCAGTCCTGTTTAGTGTTCATTGCTAATAGCTCAAAATAGTGTGGGATGCATCCTCTAAAATTAATGCCTAGATCCATCAAAGCATTGTTAACCTCCTGATCAAGTCCTCTTTCTTTGGAATGTTATTCCTGGGTAGGTGGAAACATAAGAGATCTAGAACTGGCTCAGCGACTCCAAACTGAAGAAGATAAATGGCAGAGATCAGAAGAAGAGAAGCGAGAGAGGGAAGAATTTAAAAAGCTGCAAGTACAGTAATATTTCTATATCATAAAATTTTGAACAGTTGTGCCATTGGGAGCTGAGTATCTTGGAACTGTAATGGCCTGGAATGGACATACCAGGTCAGACCTGTGCAGTCAGACAGGCTGTGTTGAGGTAGTGGTGCAGGAGTGGGTTGCAGGCAAACGCAAGCTCTTGGCAACCTGGCACAGGTGTTGGGCATGCCTGCCTCGAGCTACTTGGCTTTACTGCTTTGAGTGGTGCTGGCTCAGGATGGGGCCAGGTGCTCCCTGTGCATGACGTACTGCCCTCACTGGGGGCCCTGGCGCGCCTGCTGCCTCATACTGTGCTCCACCCAGCCCTAGTGCTCTGCCTTGCAGCGCAGCCTGGAGCGTATTAACTGGCAGAGTGCCTGAGGCCCTGAGCATCCTGGCTATCCTCTTCCTGGACACCATCACCTGCTCCAGTGACCGCTCCCCTGCTAGGTCCTGCTTCCCTCTCCCTCCCTCCTGATAGCTCATTTCCCGCTCTCGCTACCTCCTGGCCATTGACTGCCTCTGTGCTGATGGCTGTCTGCCCAAGAGGGAGCAGAGGCATGTGCCTGCTCTTCAGATGTGGCTTTCCTAGTCCCACATTCCTATGCAAGAGTGAAGCTTGGCCTTCAGCTCTAAAATATCATAAATCTGAAGTTTTTATGTGTCACTGTTTACTATTTTTCAAAGTTACTGATTGTGCATGCAGCTTCTTGAAATCACTAAAGGTGAATTTAAAAAATGTGATTTAAATCATGCACATTCCATCCCTAATAGAGACAGTATGGCTTGGATAATTCTGGAGGCTACAAGCAGCAATTCCTAAAGAATATGGAAAGGGAAGTTGATAGAGGAAGGATGCAGCCTTTTGACTATCACAAGAGAAAAGCTGACATGATGGAATGTTTGGCTTTCGGTATAGATGATGGGAAAACGAAGACCTCAGGTAAAAATGCTGAAATTATATAACTAACACTGTACTTTTTAGACCTAGGTTGTAGTGACCAAACCTGTCTTTAACAAAGCATATAATTGGATGTTTAATATTGGTTACATCCTAATTCTAATCCTTATTTTCTAGATCAATCTATACCATTTTACCCCTAAACTAATAAGGAAATGAAGGCTTGGTATATGTCTAATCTTTATTCTAACCTGAAGACTTTTTTCTTTTTTTTTTTTCTTTTTTTGTGTGGAACCTTGGAACCAAGTTGTCTGGTTAAGGGCCCAAATACAATATGTATCAAAAGATGCAAATGTCTTATTACAAGTTGGTTGTCCTTGAGCGTATGCTTGTTTACTACTTAGCACTTATTGGTTCCTAACCTAGTGTAGCTGTTAAAATTTACAGTAGCCTTTTATCTTGTGTTTCAGTTAGTTGTATCATGTAAGCTGGTCCCAGGTAAGCACAGTGTTCATCTGATTACAAACTCCAAAAAGAGGCCTGGGAGGAGTAGACATCTACTTGATACATCTTTTTTGAAATGTTTTAAATTGGTACAAGCATACAGTGCCAATGCATTTCTGTGTCCCTTTCAAAAGGCTTTCTGGTCTTTACTTGCCAAGACCACAGTTCAAAGGTCTTTTAGCTTATTGCTAGTGGTTCTAGCTTACAAAATATCCATTTGGTTCTTGACAGATAAAATAAAATCTCTTCTATAAAATGTATTGAGTGGAAATAATACATTTAAAGTTTTCATTCTTGCTAATGATTTAGACTTCAGAGAGGAATTCAGAAAATAAGCTGTGATGGCTGTGGAATGATTGTCTTCACAATAGCGTGGCAATAAAGGGCCTTGAGAATGTGTGTATACAAATTGGAGAGAGCATTCCCAAGCATGTTCTTTCATGTAACAAAGGAGGATTTGGAATATCCTGCAAGTGGATGTTTTTAAAATATTTACAGTAATTCCCAGATTCTGTACCATTCCTTTTCTTGTCTTAGTTTCTCCAGGAAAAATAATGTGGGGGGAGTAAAAGGATTACATAGTATGTGTAAGTATTTCGATGTTTTTAAGGGGATGTTGTACTGGAGGTGGCAGTGGCATAGAAATGCTCTATTGGTGACATTACTTTTCCTGTTTCATTGTAATAGTCCCTGTGCATATCACAGTTTATAATGTAGTCCAAGCTGTTTAGTTTAAAATATTAATTGTGTAGCAGCAGTGAAAAAACAGCTTGAATTCTGAAAGCTTTGTAGTACATAAATTCATCAAAGTAAAGACCATTGAAATGAAATAGGTGCAACGTCCACTGGTTTTGTGATTTGGGTTCTAGATGTAACATAGGATCACTTAGAAGTTTTAAAATTGACTTAACCTGTGTCTGTTCCAAGCTGGGGAAAGAACCTTTTTCTGTCAAATTTTATAGTTCATTTTACAGATAAACTTCATATTTGGTCTTCTTTTAGGAGTCATTGAAGCATTGTGCAAGTACTATCAGGACGAAAACAAAGACGTGAGGCATGTATGGCTTTCAACAGGAGTAGATCACTTCCACTCATCTTTGGGCGACCGAGGCTGGGGTTGCGGTTACAGGAATTTCCAAATGCTCCTTTCCTCACTGTTGCAAAACAGCTTGTATAATGACTGCTTGAGAGGTATTAGACAAAACGCTGCCTATTTGTTTCACGTACCTTGGATGACAACCTGCTGACTGATGTCTTACTTTTTCATTTACACAGCAAGGCTTACTAGGTCAATGATACCTATTAAATGCCTGTTACACCACTGCAACTTACTGTGGAAAGAATCAGAGGGGTGAATACTGGCAAGGCATGATGTGGTTGAAGTTTTAGCTTCAGGTTTTTTGGTGCATCTTTGTAACATTAACTGCCTCTTATAAAAGAAGCTGAATATTTTTAATTAGTGGACTATTACAGTAACTGTAACCACAATTCAAAAGCTTTTCTGTTCCAGATACTACGCTAATTCCTAGTATACCAAAGATTCAGTCCATGATTGAAGATGCCTGGAGAGAAGGCTTTGATCCTCATGGGGCATCTCACTTCAACAACAGATTACACGGTTCCAAAGCATGGATAGGAGCATGTGAAATTTATTCGCTGTTAACCAGTCTCAGGATAAAGTAAATATTGCTTTTTTTTATGCTGTTGTTATTTTTAAGTGCTGTACCTTTAAAGGTCAGAATTGCCAACGGTGCGATGACAAAGCCACCTTAGTGGCTTTAAATTTAATCAACCTATAAACAGATCTGATTCAGCACAGCATAAAGGTATGTAACTACTTACGCAGGTACATAAATTGAGTAACTACTTAGATCATTGAGGCTTGGTGAAGAATTATGCCACATAAGCGTAAAATCAAACATTGATTAAAAACTTAATTTCTCTAGAAGTTTCTTAAGAAGAATCTGAATTTCAGCTATTCACTTGTGTAATTCTGAAAGATGCTAATTGGATTCTCTAGTGTAAGTGTATCACATACAAAAAATCAAACATTTTAATTTTTGCAAGCTTCACAAGTTCTTGTTAGACTGAACAGAGTAGAGTGTTTCTTTGTTACAGAATAAATCTTCCAGTTTTGAACAGTATGTATTGCATTGCTTTGTAATTATGTGTCCCCTACTCTCATGTTTAAAAAAAAAAAAGTGGTAACAGAGTAGAGTGTTTCTTTGTTACAGAATAAATCTTCCAGTTTTGAACAGTATGTATTGCATTGCTTTGTAATTATGTGTCCCCTACTCTCATATTTAAAAAAAAAAAAGCCCCCCCAGCCACTTGATGCCTGGAATTGCTGTGTTTACAAAATGTTCTTGGTGCAGGAGGAAGGGACTGAGAGGTGAAAAAGTTGTTTTTAACAAACAACCTGCTTGAAATTTTATTGTTGTTTTCATTCTAAATGTTCTGTAGGTGTCAAATCATTGACTTTCACAAACCAACTGGCCCTATGGGTACACACCCTCGTTTATTTGAGTGGGTTTTGCGTTACTATTCTACAGATAATGAAGGTGGTGCAAAGGTAGCGTGTACTTCCAAACCACCTATCTACTTGCAACATCAAGGTCAGTATCACAATATGCTGGTTTCTTTCTATTCTCTATCTTTCTTTGTACGTGCTGCAATTCAGAGCAGCATTTTACATTCCTTCTTCATTTAATTGAAGGCGTGGCTTTATTTCCTGTTACTTTTTTAATGTAGTAAGAGCAACGTTAACAGTTTGTGTTTTTATTGGATGGACGAGCTGGGTGTGACTGGGATCTCAACTTTTTGATCTGCTCTTTACTTATAATTACCTTATTAAATTTCAAGAAATACCTTCCTTGATCTGAAAATAAGTAGTATGCTACAAAGAAGCAAATGGGATTTCTGTGGTTTTAAAATACTGAAAATCTATTTTGAAATTAGGTCATAGTCGTACTGTTGTTGGAATAGAAGAGAAGAAGAATAAAACCTTATGTTTGCTACTGTTTGACCCGGGATGTCCTGCCCAAGAAATGCAGAAACTGCTAAAACAAAACAGTGATGGTACTAGTCTCAAACTACTTCGGAAATTTGTGGGTAGCTTAAAAGAAAAGCAATACCAGATCGTGGCTGTAGACGGTGTACTCTCATTGGAAGAAAAAGCTGTAAGTATTTTGGAAAATAGTTTCTAAGAAAATTTAAGAGAATCTGCATCTCTTCTTTAATACTCAAATGCATATGCATATATGGTTGCTTGACGATTTTTTTTTTTTTTCATTTCTTCACTTTCCTTGTTGTTCTTCTCTGCTACTTTCTGCTTACTCTCTGAATTATCACAGGATATCAATACCAAAAAGGTTTTGCATGTAAATGCATGCTACCTTGATGTAACTGACAACTTCCGAGTCTTTTAGGAGAAAATATTGTAAGAAAATGAAGGGGGGGGAAAAAAAAAGCTTAATTTACGTGTGCAAACGGCTGCAAGCTTCCTAAGTCACTTACTGTGGCCTATAGAGTACTTACAAAGCATTCATAGTCCAAAATTATGTTCAGGGGTTTTTTTTGCGACTTTGTAAAGCTGTGTGGCGTCTATCAGCCTTTGATAGCTGAAGAACAAGGAGCACAGATACTGAGGCCTAACCATCCAATGTCTCCTCAGCTTGGACACTAGAACTAGTGCGTTCTGCTTTCTGAAAGTACTTAGAACTTCATATATTCAAAACACAGCTCTGAGCAACTTACATGTTTGAGCTGTCGGCATTTTTATAAATCCTATCCACATGTTTCACTTTGGGCATTGTAACTTTTTAAGACCTTAGAAGTTTTCAGCTGAATGTCAGATGTGTTTTTTGTTTCTTAAGCTTTCTCTTTCCTACACTAACAAATTGATTCTGAGGAACCATGTTCCGATTCTGCGGTGTCTTATCAGCACTGTTCAGCACGTTCAAGCATCAGGACAGACTTTTATTTAAACTGTGAAATAACTGGTGACTGAGTCACCTGCTCAACTGTATTTTACAACTATATATTGAAATGAAGTATTGTCTTAAGTGTTTTCTGGCCCTGAACACGTCAGAAATAGCAATGAAACACAGCCATCCTCTCTTCCTCCTACTGGCAAAAGCTTTACAATGCAGGACATAGTAAAAGGAAGAATGTTCTATGGGATTTGTGTGGGGTGCTTTCTTTGGTTTTGGTTTTTTTTCCTCTTTTCAAAGATTTGATTCATATTTAAAAATATCAATTATTTAGAATTTTGTCTTGAAAGCTCCCGTTTAATTGAGATGAAATATAACCCCTTATACTCGTTAAGCTTACTAAACTACTAATTTGGAAAATGCTCTTTAAAGTGGTATTTTCGTTCATTAAACTATTCTCTTTCCCCTCTCCCCACCTTTTTTTAGGCTTGCTGCCATGCTTCTCAGGTCTTAACATCAGAGAAGATTCCTTAAAGGATGCCTTTATTACCTCTTTTGGAATCTGCTGGATGCAAAACAGTAAACTTCTGGACTGTGACCCTAACTCAACAATTTCTAGACTTAAAACTATGTCTCTATAAATGTTTGGGGGCTCTGGAGAAGCACAATACTAGAGTAAGCCTGCAGTTTTGGTCTTCAGTCAGAACTCTACCCTCCTGATGAATCTGTAACTCTGAGGTATCACAGTTCTTGTTTTACTAGAAAATTTGCTATTTTCTTAGTTGCTTAAATCACAAAGCAACACCTACCATCCCGTAGCAAACTATGCAGCATAGTTAACCGTCAGTAAGCAGTAGATAGAGATACTGTGGAACTAGTTTACTGGAGTGCCTCTGTAAATACATTTATGCTGACTCTGGCCAGTGCTCTATTTCTTACCAGATTTGATCAACAAATATCTATCACGCCTCAGCAAATTCTCCTGCAACTATTCGCAAAGTACAGAGACAGTTCAGTGATTTCACGTGATACAGTCTGTTCCACTAGGGATTAGTTTACTACTGAACTTCTTTTCAGTTAGCTGGCTTCTCTCAATGTATCACTTGTAAACGTGAACATGTGTGCTTATGAAGTGGATCAGTATTAGCATTGGCTGTGAGGTCTAAGATAGTGGTGTCCAAAGTGGGGTGCGTGTGCTCTAAGGGCTACGCAATTGGGGTAGAGGAAGAAAATACTTCTTTTGTACCATGAATAAATAAAAGAAAACAAAAAAATGAATAAAGTGTTCATTTCATCTTTATTTCATCCTTTTTTTTATTTCTATTTTTTGTGTATGTTTTATAATGTATAGCCCCGAGGCTTCGGAGGCATCTCAAAAGCACATTTGAACTGACTGTTGACTAGGGGCTCCATTGTGCAGGGTTAGTGCCATTTAAGACACTGGAGCTATCTACTGAGAGAAGTATCTTGGGTGTTTGAGGCACCCTACTGTCTCTTAAGACATGCTGCTCTGGCTGAATGTAAGAGTCATGCCTCTCCAGCAGGGCAGCTTGAGGCTGTGAGGGATGGTCAAGTGTGTTGCAAATAGCACTAGGTGCCTCTTTTTAAGCAACTGAATCGTGCCATGGCATCCATTTACTGTAACTAGAGTTTAGATACTTCCCTTTCATTTAGACTCTTACATGTTGACGCCTAGATGTAGGTATAGGAGTTTTACCATTAGTCTGTTTCTCTCATGTTTAATAAGGTCTGGCAATAAGAACTAGTAATCTTTAGAAGTAGTGAAATGCGTGAACATGTAAAAATATTGCAACCCATGAATCAATAATTTTTCTGAAACATGCACAAAAGTAAAAATTTTAATTACGAAAACACGTTAATTCCAGTAGGTATGTAGAAGTGACCTATAGCCTGTGGAAGGGTTAAAAATTTAGGACACTGGAGGGGCTGAGACTAGGGACAGAGTTCCTGGGAATTGGGGGACCACCAGCTCCCATATTATCCCTGGTCTGTGTGGCACATGTTCTTACACCACGTGAGGTTTTGCAGTCATGCCATCATTTAACCTCTCACGGATACACTTCAATCTTTTCTGCACTGTTCCCTCACCTCCCCGGTGACTTGGGCCGAGTCTGTACCTCGCTAAGGCTCTACTAATTCCAGACCGAGTATGTTCTTTACCAGTGTGAACACTGTGCCCAGATGTGTAAGTCTAAGAAGCAGGAATTGCAGCTCAGGCCCGGCTCTTCACTAATGTGTTCAAACTGCCATTGGGACTAAGCTGGTGTTTCAGTGAAATGCTGTAACGTGCCAAATTTGAAATATCTCTTTGTACTGGCTTGTATGTGCTGTTTGATTCCTATGTAGTCACCATGGGGCGGCTAGATAGTAAGTGAGCAGAACAGTGGGAGTCTCACTTGATCCAGCTGAAGATGCCTCTGCAAGGGCCCTTGCAATGGCGATTCCTGGCACCACCTGGACGGCGACCAGCCACTTCAGATACTTGATTCCCTGTGTAAGCATGACCTTATGCCAAGATCCCAATAAATTTTGTTGTCTTTGTTTTGCTGGGGTTTTTTGGGGTTTTTTTAACAAGCACTATGGGAGTGTCAGAGCAACACAAGCCTAATTACAGATTTATTAAGGTCAAGTTCCTGGTGTCTCATTTGTTTCAGCTTGACTCCGGGAATGCCATGCAAAGGTCCAACCAACCAAGGTAATCACAGTATGACAAATAATAGCCTTTTCAGGGAATTGCAGCTGGGGCAGGGTAATGGGGTAACTATCAAACATTAGCTGGGCACCTCTGGAAAGAAAGCAGTGGGGTAACAAAACGTTAAAATAACCCTAATGAGACCCAGGACGATAGCCTGAATTGCTACCAGAAGTTTGCCCTGAGAGAGGGAATGAGTGCTTTTGGGCTCGATGCTGACTAACATAACTGCTTAAGGGATGTTGCCTCTTATCGTCAGACTCCCCTGGGTTCACAGAAGCTGAACTGTTTATCTTCTTTGCAAATAGTTGTCTCAGAGAAACAAGAGGATCCTGTTTGGATCTATTCACAAGACCCTGAATATTTGGTTAACCGCTTGGGTGAAGAAACTGACGGTGTGTTCCTGAAATTCCAAGAAGGGCTTTGATCCGCTTTTCTCTTCCCAGGCGGCAGGGCAACGGAAGGAGTAGTACACGTTTGTAATCAGAAGTAAATCACAGAGACTTGTCATTGCTGGGGGTCCTAGCCGCTCGTGTTCAGCTGCAAACTGTATTTTCTGAAAAAAGCAGCAAAGGAGTGTGTGAACCTGCACCAGACAGAGCACAAGCTAATTACCGAAAGGCCTCCTGAGTCTGCTATACATCGAGTGCTGAAGCAGTTTATTCTTTACATGGAGTAAACTAACTCTCAGAAAAGCTTCAGGTGATTATCGTGAAAATTGCCACTTGGGTTCGTCAGAAGCTGTAACTGTTTTACCATGACTTTAAAAATGTGTTCATTTCTCCTTGGGAACAATGTCAAAACTCCATAAATTCAAAATTTTGGGGGCAAAATGTTTCATTCTTTTTTGTCTATTTATATTCAATTTATCTTATATATGACTTGTCCAAGTACTTTTTTATATACTACAATATTAAGAACTTATAGAGACTTTAATGTGAACATTATTTTGAAGGAAAAAATGAAGTTATCTAATTCTAGTATGCTAGTAATATTCTAGTAATTCTAGTATTTAATTCTAATACACATTGCTTTATAGATAGGCATTTTTAGATTAAATGTTCCTAATTGAAGGTTCCAGTGAAAAATGTGGATTTTGGTGACCCTTAGGTTTTTCTCACAGAAACAATTTTAACACATTGTAATTATTCTCTTGGGCTATATGGCAGTGAATTCCATTGCACCCTCCAGCCCTGAAAGTGATGATTTCCTCTGTGCAGACAAGAGCTCACCTGTACAGGGTGTTTTCTAGCATGTTATTTCAGCGCTGTTCCTCTCCTTTCTACAGGTGGCCTGTAGGGGGTCGGGCAGGAGGCATCTGTAGCGTGGAGAGATGTGATAAGTTTTAATTCCATCTCATGGTTATTTCATAACAGTTTTCATATTAGAAAGAGAGAGAGATGCAGAGAATGTTCAGACAACACTGCATGGATTACACTGCGTTTTCCATGCAAGCACAGCAAATAAAGGTTTTTTATGTTTTTTTAATGGCAGTCAGATTCTAGAGATGAAGAGTTTAGAGAAGGGCATTACTATGAGCAACCACTCCCATTTGAGCCTGTCCTGGTTTCGGCTGAGATAGAGTTAATTTCCTTCCCAGTAGCTGGTACAGTGCTGTGTTTTGGATTTAGTATGAGAATAATGTTGATAACACACCGATGTTTTAGTTGTTGCTCAGTAGTGCTTACCCTAGTCAAGGACTTTTCAGCTTCCCATGCTCTACCGACTGAGAAGGCTGGAGGTGCACAAGAAGCTGGGAGGGGGCA